GATTTGTTCTAATGGTGTTTGTAAATAGGATCACAAGTCCGCATCTTGTACAGCAATTAACCACTAAGAAGAATATATGCAGTGTATTATTTGTTGAAAAATAAAAAAAATAAAAAATAAAACAGCCAGACCCAATTCTGATATGCTGTCCCACATAAATGACTTGAAACTAAATATTTTGCTGAGACAGCAACCAAATCTTTCAGTTTAAGAACAAAAAACTGCTGACAGTAATTTTGCTATTATATCAAGACTTTCAGCTGGTTTATAGGTATTTAGAAGCAAAGTGATCCTAATAAAAGAAAACCTTTGACGCAGATTTGATTTTCATTTCATGATTCTAAAGGACAGATAGGTAGATATCCATTAAACCAGATTGTTAAAACATGTGTTTTTGGTTATTTGAGCATTTGGTTTATACACATGTAGATATAATTCAAGAATATTTACTACTAGTTTATTTTCAATATATATTGTGTAAGAAAATTAAGAGAAAAATTGCTTATATTTCAATAAAATTTCACCAAGATAAGAAACATCTTAAAATTATATTTAAAACATATTAGTTAAAAAAAGAATACTGGTAAATTTAATTTAAAAATAAAAGGGAATTTCTGAGACATGCAATAGTTTAGTACTTAAATTTTTTGAACCAATTAATCAAACAATTGGAATTTTTCTACAATCCACATGATAAATTAGAGAATTTGCAGCTATTAAATCATCTGGAATGAATTTTCATATTTTCTTCAAATAGTAAGATTAGTTGTAATTTAGTAAAACTGCTGATTTGTTAGTGGTGGTTCCATCTTAGCTTTACAAAACTGCTGATCTCCAAGCATTCTTTCACTGAAAACTAATTGCTTTGTTAGATACTGTCAATCGCAGATAATTTATAAGGAAGGGCAGAGATAGAAGGATGTCATAATTCAGAAGTTATACCTTGCACCGTGAGGAAAACTGAACCTGCTGCGGATCCACCTTCACTGGAAACCATACAATGGTACGCCCCAGCATCGCTGACTTTCACACTCCTCAGCTCCAGGGAGAGATTGGCCAATGTCCTAGTCCTTGCTGGCTCTGCCAGTCTAATATCTCTGCCATTGATCTGCCAGGTTAGATTGTAATCCACAGCACTGATGACAAGACATGTCAAAACAGCTCTCTCTCCAGGAGCAACTGTGACATTATTAGGCACTTGAATGACGGGAGGCGGCTCTGTATGAAATAAAAGACTCAAGTCAAGAGACCTAGAAGTCATCATGCTCACTGGTACACTGCATATGTTTCAAAAACCGAGTAGTAAGCAACAAGTATCTAGGTAACAAATGTGCAGTAGAACAGAACTTACTCATTAGTACATATGCCAGTGATCCCTCTACCTCTCATTTAGGAAGTACTTAAAAGACAGTTTAAAAAGCAGTGCACATTTACATACCAAAGAATACTCAAGAGGAATTTCTGCCGCGTTCCGGGAACCCAAGACCCAGTCCTAGCCCAGGCCCGGTGAGTGTGTGGGAGAGCTGCCTCTCCCCCCCTACTCCACCTTGTCCCCTCTAGGCTCAGCTCAGGTCTGGCATACAGGCCTGGGGTGTAACCCTGCAGCTGCAATCCCTGCAGAGAATGTAGAGGATAGAACCACCCAGATAGTCCAGGAGCAGAAAAACTTGCCAGAGGGGCACAACAAGTTCACGGCCAAGGGCATCAGCAGGAAGGAGCTGAGCACAGCAGCCAGACCCAAGCCAGGCACAGCTAGATAAATCCAAAGTTTGTAGATCTGCACCTGAACTTCAGTACTTGCTAAGGTTATAACTACCACGAAGATCTACAACAAAGGTCAGAAGACAGTGCGATGCAAAATGACGAGAAGGAACAAAATGCAAACTCAGAACCCAACCCCAACCGTAACAAGTGCAGAGGACAATAACACAGAACAAATTGGGAACCACACAGGTGAAAGCAATTAATCAATGGCTTCTGAATTAAAACAATAGCTGCATGAAGCAGAGTCAAAAAGATATGGAGGAAATTAAAATCTCAATCACAAGCTTGCAAAACCGTTTAAGTGAAAGTGAAGACAGAGTTTCAGATCTTGAAGACGCTGGTGCGGCTAGTGAAAAGGTAAGAAAAGATCTCTTAAAAACAATGAGGATACAGGAAAGAATGATCCATCACCTGCAAGATGATGCAAAAATGAACAATGTGAGAGTAATAGGCATCAATGAGAAAGGAGTCAATACAAATGACATTAAAAATATATGGGTAGAAGTAATAGCAGAAAACTTCCCAAATATGAAGAAACAATCTGTCATTCAGGAATCGAAGCATACAGAATGCCAAGTAACCTCAATCCAATGAAAAACACATTGAGATATATAATCATCAAGATCCCAGAAATTCAGCACAAGAATAATATATTGAAAGCCGCTAGAGAAAAGAAGCAGATCACATTCAAAGGAAAACCCATCAGAATTACGGCCAACTTCTCTTCACAGACCATGAAGGCAAGAAGAGCATGGAACAGAGTACTTCAAGTCCTCTATGAAAACAAACTCCAGCCA